TACTGCTGTTGCTGCTATGCTGCTGCTGCTGCTGTTGCTGCTGCTTGTGCAGATGTTACTGCTGCTGTTGCTGCTGCGGTTGCTGCTGCTGTTGCTGCTGTTGTTGCTGCTGCATCTTTTGCTGGCTGCGTAGCATGCATGTTTTTGCTGCAGAGACGGGACACACCGATGCTGCTGCTTCTAATGAGTATTCGTTTAGTGGGTAAGAGTTGCTGCAGCTGCTGCTGCTGCTGCTGCGCTGCTGCTGCTACTGTCATTATTGGTGCTGCTGCTGCTGCTGCTGCTGCTGCTGCTGCTGCTGCTGTCGCCTAGTGGTGTTGCAGGCGCCGCTGAGAGCGGATGCTGCGTAGCCGCTTCCTGTGCTGCTGCTCTTGCTGCTGCTGCTGCTGCTGCTGCTGCCGCTGCTGGTGTCTTTGCTTTTCATGGGGGTCACGCGGCAATATTGCTGCTGCTGCTGCTGCTGCTGCTGCTGCTGCTGCTGCTCAGATACGTGATCTCTTTTGTGATTGGCTTTGGAGGCATTTTGCTGCTCTCTATTTTAGTTTGCTGCGTCCGAGCTGCCTACGTCAAACACATGGTGAGTCAGCACCCGCAGCTAGCTAGCCACAGCTAGCCACAGCTAGCCACAGCTAGCCACAGCTAGCCACAGCTAGCCACAGCTAGCCACAGCTAGCCACGCTAGCTTGCTGCAGCTTGCTGCAGCAAGCTGCAGCAAGCTGCTCAGGCTAGCTGCAGCTAGCTACAGGGGGCCTCCTGCCCAGCTAGCTGCGCTGAGTCCTTAGCTAGAAGACTCCGTAGCTAGCTGCAGGGCGAGCTGGCTGCAGCGAGCCGTGCTGCTGCAGCAGCTAGCTGCAGCAAGCAGCAGCTAGCTGCAGCTAGCTGCAGCTAGCAGCCAGCTTTGCAAATAAAAAAAGAACAAATTGATGAATTAGTTATAATTGGATTTAATTAATTAATTTGTTTTTGTTTTTCTTCAGAAAAAGAAACTGGAAGCACAACTGGCAGCTTTGGGGGGAACAGATGAGCCAGCGAGCGAAGAAGAGCAGCAGCAGCAGCAGCAGCTGCTGCAGCAGCAGCTAGACGCTGACCAAGGATGGGTTGATGTCTCTGTAGAGCAGCAAACTCCACAAGTCCAAGAAGAAGTCGTAAGGAATCTCTGCTGCCGCTGCTGCTGCTGCTGCTGCTGCTGCTGCTGCTGCTGCTGCTGCTGCTGCTGCTGCTGCTGAAGCTCCTGCTGCTGCCTCTGCCGCTGTGTTTTTTGCTTCCGATGTTAGTGCTTCTGCTGTCTCAGCTTCTGCTGCACCTGCTGCTGCATCTGCTGCTGCATCTGCTCCTTTTGCTTCTGCTGCTGCTGCTGTAGCCTGTGCTGTTGCTGCTGCTGCTGCTGCTGCTGCTGCTGCTGCTGCTGCTGCTGCTGCTGCTGCTGCTGCTGCTGCTGCTGTTCAGTTTTGGGCTGCGGCGCGTTTTGCATTTGCTGCTTGAGATGTTTCCACGTATCTGTTGTTTGCTGCTGCTTTGCAACAAAGAAACAATTAGTTACAATTATTTATTTATTTATTTATTTATTTATTTATTTATTTATTTATTTATTTATTTATTTATTTATTTATTTATATATTTATTTATTTACTTGTTTAATTATTTGTTTGTTGTTGTTTTGCTGCAGCAACAGCTAGCCAAAATGGCCTCGAAGCTGCCTGGGACTGCTGCAGCAGCAGCAGCAGCAGAAGCTGGGGAGGAAAAGGAGACAGAAAAGGAGACAGTTAAAAAGAATAAAAAAGAAAAGAAGAAACACAAGAAGCATGAAAGAGACAGCAGCAGGGAAGAAGAAAAAGAAAAGAAGAAAAAGGACAGCGAGAAGCACAAGCCCAGCAGCAGCAGCAGCAGCAGCAGCAGCAGCAGCAGCAGCAGCAACAGGAAGCACTCAGAGGGGAAATCTGCAAGAGAGAAGCAAAAGCGGAAGCAGGAGAAGGAGCTCATGAAGGCCCTTTCCTCCCGACGCACTGTCAGACTGGGATAGACAAGCCCAGCTAGCTAGCTAGCTGCTTAGCTAGCTAGCTACTTAGCTAGCTAGCTAGCTACTTGGCTAGCTAGCTACTTAGCTAGCTAGCTAGCTGGCTACTAAGCCACGCAGGTAGCTAGCTAAGAAGCTGCGCAGCGGGCGAGCTAGCTAGCTATTAGCTGGCTAGCCACACGGCTAGGTAGCTAGCCCCACAACTGGCTATATACGCAGCTAGCTAGCTGGACAGCTAGCTGGCTACACAGCTAGCCGGCTAGCTAGCTGGTGCCACACGCACGCGGCTGTCTATCTGCTGCACGGCTAGATGGCTAGCTGCGCAGCTAGCTAGCTGGCCGCACCAGCGCCTGGCTAGCTAGCTAGAAGCTAAGCGGCTAGACAGCTAGCCAGCTAGCCAGCTGGCTAGCTAGGCGGCAAGCAGCAAGCCAGCAGGGCAGCGGCTGCGCCGCAGCAGTTAGCCCCCAGCTAGCTAGCTAGCTGGCC